AATTTATGTATTTTTATTTTTATTTGATATGTATTTCAGCTTTAGTCATTTTAGTACATCAACCAAAACTAATTTAATTAAAAAAAATGTATATCTTAATATTTGTATTTTATTTCAGCTTTATTTTTCAAAAACATTTATTTTTTATTTTATCAAAAACAATTTCATACAGTTTTAGTTAACAGTAACATCACTGGTTATTAAGAGAACTTTATTATGTAATTATAAAAAATGTTATGTAACACTGTTTATTTATTATTGCTCACAGGTTGGAGATCGCTGCTATGATGAGAAGATGTACGAGGCGGCCAAACTTCTATACAATAACGTCTCCAACTTTGGCCGCTTGGCTTCTACCCTGGTCCACTTGGGCGAGTATCAAGCGGCTGTGGACGGTGCCCGCAAGGCTAACAGCACTCGCACATGGAAGGAGGTGTGCTTTGCTTGTGTGGATGGAAATGAGTTCAGATTGGCTCAGATATGTGGCCTTCACATCGTGGTTCATGCCGATGAGCTAGAAGAGCTCATCAACTATTACCAGGCAAGTTGTGATCCTCCAAGAAGATTCTGCAACTAGCTAAAAATGGAATTGAATTATATGGTTTTAAAATGCTCTCTATAGGACCGTAGCTACTTCGAGGAGCTGATCACCATGCTGGAGGCGGCGCTGGGGTTGGAGCGCGCTCACATGGGCATGTTCACAGAGCTGGCCATCCTCTACTCTAAATTCAAACCACAGAAGATGAGGGAACACCTGGAACTCTTCTGGTCCAGAGTCAACATCCCAAAGGTACACAGCACTACTAAAGATGATTGTTATTTCAGATGTTGGTTTGTAACACTCCTCTTTTTTATTTTTTTTTATTTTTATTTTTTTTATAAAGTGTCCTTCGCTCAGTTCTGTTAAACAGCAGGAGTTCATTGATTTCTTCTTCCATCATTCCCCTCCAGCTATAATTTAATTCAACATGTAATCTGATATTCTCCAAAGGAACGATCTTAGTATCATCATCTGCAATGCACAGATGTTACAAAGTCTGTCTCCTTCACTTCTTGAGTTCTTTTCTTTTTCTTTCTTTATCAGGTCCTGAGGGCTGCAGAGCAGGCTCACCTGTGGGCAGATGGATAGATGGATAGATAGATAGATAGATTGATTGATTGATTGATTGATCAGTTATAAGTATAAATATTAATTATTAGTTTAACAAAATAAAATTAAGACATCAATTAATATATAAAAAATTATAAATATAATTAGAATTATTATTAATTATTAGTATACATATATTTAATAAATTTAATGATCAATATATAATGAAAAGGGAATGATTTTTCAATGAAAAACAAACATGAGAAATATTCCCTTGGAAACTAAATTAAATAAAATAATTTAAGCTGAAAAATGACCAGAGTACATGAAATTACTTTTGATTTAAAATGAATACTGATCATATAAAAATCAAAATATAAGCAATAATATGACAACACCAGGAAATTAATTAAATTACAGTGATCATATTTCTTGTTTTGTTTAGGTGGCCAACGTGGAACTGTACTACAAAGCAATCCAGTTTTATCTGGAGTTCAAGCCCTTGTTACTGAACGACCTGCTCATAGTTCTTTCCCCGAGACTGGATCACTCTCGTGCCGTCAGCTTCTTCAGCAAGGTACAGAAAGCAAGCACAAGGCTACCTCGCCTGTGTGGCGAGCCTTTGAACTTCATGCTTGTTTAACATCAGCTAAAATTACTTTTTCGTTTCTTCAGGTTAAGCAGCTTCCTCTCATCAAGCCTTATCTGCGGTCAGTACAAAATCACAACAACAAGTCTGTCAATGAAGCACTTAACAACCTCTTCATCTCAGAGGAAGACTATCAGGTACAAACAACAGTGTAAAGTATTTTTCAGAAAAACAAAAAAACAATTATTGTAGCTTTTTACAGTAGCTGTTGTCCGCCACCTCATCATCTGTTCAACTGTCCCGTCCGCAGGCACTCAGGACATCTATAGACGCATATGATAACTTTGACAACATCTCACTGGCCCAGCGTCTGGAGAAACACGAGCTGATCGAGTTCAGGAGAATCGCTGCTTACCTCTTCAAGGGCAACAACCGATGGAAGCAGAGTGTGGAGCTGTGCAAGAAAGACAAACTCTACAAGGTGAGGTGGATGATGGGGTTATTGTCTAGTCATGCTATTTGTAAATGTAGTTGATCGGATTCGTGACAGCCATGCATGTTCTTCTACCCAGGATGCAATGCAGTATGCGTCTGAGTCGAAGGACATAGAACTGGCCGAGGAGCTGCTGCAGTGGTTCCTTCAGGAAGACAAGAAGGAGTGTTTCGCCGCCTGCCTCTTCACCTGCTACGACCTGCTCAGGCCTGATGTGGTGCTGGAGACGGCGTGGAGGCACAACATCATGGACTTTGCCATGCCTTACTTCATCCAGGTGACGAGGGAATACCTCAGCAAGGTAAGAATGGGCTGCTACTCTAAAGTGGGGAAGGACTAGGAATGCCACTTAAAAATAAAACAGATTAATTATTGTGAATTATTTCAAAACAATGACCTTTGACTAACGTTTGAAGGTTGAATTAAATCCATTTAAATTTGTTTAGCTGAAAAGTAACATTTACATACAGTAAATTGTATTTGTATAATTATTATTTAATAATTATGATTATTAGTATAACACATTGATATTGTCTTTATTTTATTCATTAGAAAAAAACGAGTAAATTTGACTAACATTTTATAATGGTAAATATTCCATTTGAAAATGTATTAACATTGTAAATTACATTAGTATATACGTTAGTATAATTATGTTATAATAATTAAATAATAAAAATGAAGACATTAGTTATCAATATATTAAAAATAAAACATGAAAAAATTGAGCTAACATTTTAAACACAAATTTAAAAATTTGAAATGCTTATTTTCACTTTGAAATGTCATTTAACATCCACATACTTCAGTTTAGTATAAAATATTAGTATAAAATGAAGATATCAATTATCAGAATACTAATTTAAAAATAGTCAGATAACGTTGACTAAAATTAATCAAATAAATCATTTTAAATAAGTCCGTTTGAAAAGTCATTAGCATTTACATATAGTAGCAGTATTTTCAAATAATCATCATTGATATGACATATATTAACTTGAATATAAAACTAAGAATGTTTTACATTTTAAACATGAATTAAAAGCATTTTAAATATCTCTGTCAATTTGAAAAGTGATTAACATTTGTATATTAACATTCATATTATTAATTAATAAGCATTAATAGAAGCATTAGTATAATTATATTAGTAAATTCTATTTGTATTTACACTATTTTCTGAATTAATTTTAATGAAGAATAAAACCATGATTATTTTAAGAGACATTCTTAGTCCTCAACACAATGATCATGTATACAGACTGAAAACTAATTTTTCTCATGTATTTAGGTGGACAAGCTGGAGACCTCCGAATCCTTGAGGAAAGAAGAGGAGCAGGCCACGGAGACTCAACCCATTGTTTATGGTAAAACAGTCAAAGCAAATTGCCAAGAAAATTGACTAGTATTTATGTTTTTTTAAATATAATAAATACTATTAAATGCATTTTAAAAATAATTTTTCCCAATATCTCTTTCCTCAGGCACGCCTCAGCTCATGCTGACAGCAGGTCCCAGTGTGCCTGTCCCCCCGCAGCAGGCTTATGGCTACGGGTACACAGCAGCGCCTGGCTACCCCCAGGCTCCTCCGGCACAGCCAGGTTTCGGTTACGGCATGTAAGGACCTCCCCATTTCCCGCTCGCCCCTCTTCCAGCTGCCGCTTGGTTCGGTGCACCCCTATGGATCTCTCTCCCTCAATCCTCCACAAGTCCGACTCTACCACTTTGTGCTCACGACGGGGGATTTGAGCAAATGTTTATTCTTTTACTTTACCTTTTTTAAAATGATCGTTTTTGTTTATCGTGTTTTCTTTATACCATCATGAAGGACTTTATTTCTATATTGTCAAAGATTTCATCAAAAATTATTTTTTTCACATTCCAGATACTTACTAGATTTAATTTCCTGTCAGTTTTATCTGTCAATAAAAGGGGAATGGTGTCTACAATGAGGAGACTTGTGGGAGAAGCAAGTCAGCTTAATTAAAATGACAAAACAAAATCAGATTTGCACTCCGTAGTCAGAGGAAAAACAACCAATGTATCATTTTGGTGTGTGTGAACAACTTGTTCAGTCTGTCAGCATTTAATATTGTATATTCTAGGGAAGAAAATAAAACGGAGAAAAAAAAAACGTACAACTACCGCCTCCACAAACACTAGTCAATACCAGTAATTCAATGGGGGTGCGTAGCTCTCGAAATATATATATCAAAAGTTATTTTAAATGCATAAACATGCATTCGTATGGCAACTTCAAACCTTTTCCCTGACCTATGCAGGTTCTCCAATTTTTGTTTTCCATATGAAAAACAAACTTTTGTTGTGCAGTAACTCGTACTCATTGTGTGGGACCATCCATTTGAGGAGGGATAATAATTCAAATATATATAAATATATATGTGGCTCTCCACACCTGTGTGTGTTTTACTAACCTTACCTCTCTGTGCTGCAGTGTGTATGTGTGCGTATGTGTGTATGCTGGTTGTTGTGATGTTTAGGTCACTGTACGGCACCGAATTGAGACTAGAAAGCCAGTTTATCCTGCCAGTTATTCCTAAACTCAGTTTACCCATTATTTGTAAAGAAGTGAAATCACAAATGGTTTGAGAACGAAGATTAAACTAACTCCCTGTGTCCTGTACTCGGTTTTAACTGAGTTGAGATTAATCATACACGTATATTGTAGTGATCTGATTGTGCACAAAGAGAATGAGATTTTTTTTCCCCCCAGATTATCATATAAATAAAGGCTTCTTGTTTGTCAAGAAAAATCTGGTCTAAACATAGCTTCATGTGCCATGTATTTTTTTCCCAACACACTTTGTAATTTCTCCTCCTTCATACTCACTGGACACTTTCAGACATTCAGAACATAAATGAAGCTCTACGGTGGGAATTTGTGGCTTTATCACTTGTGTAAATAAAACTATGTTAATACTTAAGAAGCCAGTTTGACATCAATCCAGTGTTTTAAATCTAAATGTTCACAGAATTAATTATACAAGCTTTGCTGTGCGACTGAAAAAGGAACGGGGTGATTTTTTTTGCACCAAAGTCAAAGTTAAACAAAAGTCATTTATTCCATTGGGTATGAGGGGGGCGATTGAAATATGATAGAAATGAGATTCCCCAAAATAAAATTTTCCTGTACATAAGACTTATGACACAAAATTGACTCATGTTCAATGATGGAATGAGTGCACTGTTTACTTAAAATAAATGGTTAAACCTATAAATCAATGTGTCATTAACCCTTTTAATTCATCTTCACCACTCTTTGTAGTTGTAGAAAAATGATAAGAAGTTTAGTCCCATCATAATCCAATAGTGTTATTCAATACAATTTTAGGTGTCCAGTCACTTTATCAATAAGATCAGCTAGTCCTGGTCCCACGCCAAGAACTGTCCGAGACCCTGGTGCAATTTGGGTTCTTCCAGCATCTTGGATTAAACTGACCGGCAGTCTGACCTCTTTGGCGTGGGACAGCAGCTCCAGCAGACAGTCCTCGTCTGGAGCCTTGACCACCACTTTGGGCTGACCGCAGTACTCCCACTGTTTCAGGAGCTCTGGGTTTCTGCGCTGGACCTGCTTGTAGGCGGACACAGCGGCATGGGAGCACTGGGCTGCCACTTTACCTTTGCCCATCTTCAGATCGGTTCGGACCACCAGGATCATTCTGAACTCTCCGCTCTCACCCATCACACTGGCCTCGCTGCCAGCACCGGCGCTGTTTCCTAAAGCTGCCATCATGCTGCGGGACGATCTGCCCAAACGCCCACTGAGGTGCCATCCGAGGCAGAGCCCACAGCCTACACCTGCCAGTATACCCAAAGCGACAGGCCCATACAGAGAGTCCATCCTCGTATCTGATGAAACACAAGAGTGAGTGATTCATAACATAAACATCAGTGCAGTTCTCTACCTTTACACAAAATTACCACGTTAACCATAGTATAACGGTTAATATTACTACGATAAAACTGGTACCATCTACAAATGGCACATAAAGTGAAACAAAATGGCAGAAAGATTTGTATCACACATTCATTTACTATGTTTATATTAGTAACAATAACTGTTACTATAGTATTTTAACCACCGGAAACTGAGGTTTACCATTCATGTAAATACAAATATGCTAACACTCGACTTATTAATATGAAGCCAGTTTGACATAAATCCAGTGTTTTAAATCTAAATGCTCAGAACTGATCATGTTAGCCTCGTTGTGCAATTGAAAAAGGAAAAAGCGCATATGTAATTAAACTAAATGATTAAAAGATTACAAAAACACCATGTGGAGGAAATTTTATGTTTATTATGTGTCCATATTAGTAACTTAACAACTGTTACTATAGTATTTTAGAAGAAGCACTGGGATCTGCTGTATGGGTACAGTATCAAATAAGCATTCATATTTGTGCTACTAATAATCTATAAAACGATCACTTTCTGCACTATATTCGTCAATGACAATGCTGTCAGTCTAGCCGGCTGGATTAAATCTAGGTAAAACGTGTTCGCTTAAACGACCCTCTAACGAGCTTTTATTAGCTATACTAACCGGTGCTGGTGAGACTATTCAGTATAAACGTGTTTCTGAGCATCTGATATCAGACTCACCAGCAATCAAAATGATTCAGCAACCTGAAGTTTCCTGCAAACTCCACGAGCCGCTTCTTTCAAGCCGACGCCGAATGATGACGTCACGTGTTTAAAGCAACCGCGAAAATCCGAGAAATATTCAGCAAAAATCGAGTCAGATTTCTATAATGTGTATTTTATCCTTATGAATTAATATTTTAATATGTTCACCTTCCTTTCACACCTTCATTCTGCATTATTTAGAAAGGAAATTGTCCAGCATCGTTTCATTAGGCGGTGAAAAGGTGATGTTGCATTTTTTTTTTTTTTGCCTAATAATGCACATGACATTTAAAACCGTAAGTGTAATGCCTCAAAATCTAGCAAACTACCTTCCTAGACAGCATTTTGAATATCATGGGTTAGTCCCCAGCTACACGGGTCGACTCATTTATAAGCAGGTGCATGCATTAACAGCAGCCTATACTCAAACTCTTATCTGGGCAGTTTTAATTCTTTACTCTTTTGAACCCCAGAGACCCAGCCTAATTTAAGACAGTGTAAACAAGCTTTGAAACTAGACACTGTTTTTCGGGCCTGGCCTCTCATGGTTTTACACCCTTAGTGTACCCCTGGGAGAGCAGGTGTGCTGTGGGTTGTGTAAGACTTAAACTACTGACAAAATGTTCTTGATTCTGACATTCGAGATTGTCTTACCTGCTGGGTTTTTTTGTTGTTGTTGTTTGTTTATCCAGGCTGCTGTTCATCTGCTGCTTTGACACCAGCAGTGAAGGTTATTCATCCCCAGTGAAGGACTATGTGAAATCGGTAATCATTAAGAGATGAGACAAAAATTAATACAATTACAAATGTAATTCTCAGTAATTCTCTCTTCTCAGGTGTTCTGGGTCCAGACTGAAGCTTGAGGAAAAAACAGAGAAACAAATAGGGACATAATTAGCGTAGCTGCTGTTCCAACCAAGCAAAATTTATTTGTTTAACCCAAACTAAAGAATAATAATGTGCATTTGATATAACTATATATATATATCTATATAGATATAACTGCAGTACAAGATTATGAGATGCATTATTTGAATGCTTGGCCAAAGAGATGTGTCTTTAATCTAGATTTAAACAGAGAGAGTGTGTCTGAACCCCGAACGTTATCAGGAAGGCTATTCCAGAGTTTGGGAGCCAAATGCGAAAAAGCTCTACCTCCTTTAGTGGACTTTGCTATCCTAGGTACTACCAAAAGTCCAGAGTTTTGTGACCTTAGGGAGCGTGATGGATTGTAGCGTGGTAGAAGACTAGTTAGGTACGCAGGAGCTAACCCATTAAGGGCCTTATAGGCAAGTAATAATATTTTGTAACTGCTCCGACAGCCTGTCCTTCTTTTGATTCAGTCACTCTGATTCTGTAAGACACAGTAGTTCGATGAGTTTCGAGTTTGGGGGAGCAAATGTAGCTTATATTTATGAATTTAACAGACACAGTAATCGAAAGTGACTTGCATTACAGCCAAGGTATACGTTTTATCAGTTCATCCATTTCCTGGGAATTGAACCCATGACCTTGGTGTTGGTAGTGCTATGCTTTACTGCTGAGCTACAGGAATGCTTGCGAAATATGATGATGCTGCTATCAATCACAAATGCTTTTTAGATGTCTACAGTTTCTGTGCTTGGCGGAGATGCTTTCAGAAGCATAACGTGAATGTTAAAATCTCCGACAATTAGCGCTTTATCAACAGTAACCAATAGGTCTGAGAGGAAATCTACAAATTCTTTTAGGAAATCTGTATACGGCCCTGGTGGTCTATACACAGTAGCCAAATTACATTATGTTAAGTGTGCATTTCAAAAGCAGAAATTTTGCAGGTTGTTAGATGATCAGATTTTTTCACTGACGTCTTTGTGTTGCTGCACAGTGAAATTGGAGAAGCAAGAACAAGTACTGAACGTTTTGACAAACAAAGGAGAGAGATGTGAAAAGATTGTGTTCAAGATAATACCTGTATCAAAGTGTTTTCACAGCAACGTAGAGTGCCTTCCGCAGTGATGGTACTGTTAAAACTTTTTGTATGCCTGTTGTCAAAACTCTGCAGTACTGGGGGTTATTTTTGGTGCATTTGTGGTGGGCCTCAGGGTTTTTTGTGTGGTTGGTAACTGGAATGAGAGTCTTTATATAGACTGTCATGCCACTGGCCTATTTAGTGAATGTGAGATCTCACTAGGGTATCTTTAAGTGCACAAATACTCATCCTTCCTGTGAGTTTGTCACATGTCATAATCTTAAAGGGATAATTCAACTAAGAATGAAATAATGTCATCATTTACTCCCCCTATATGTCATTTCAAATTATCTTCTTTCTTCTGTAGAAAGTTTTGCACAATCTCCGAGAAGATTACTATCTACTTTTACTGTATGTAAAAGTGCAGCACGACCACTTTGCTAAATATCTCCTTTTGTGTTCCACAGTAATAAATATTTAGAATGACATGAGGGTGAGTAAATTATAACAGACTGTTCATTTTTATGTGAACTATCATTGGGATGGGATGTTTAGGTTCCAGATTGTAATAATTATGGAAATGAATCATGATGTTTTGGTTTTAGACTTACATAATGTGGTTTGCACTCTTGCCTTGGCATCCATGATGACTCTGGCAATGCAGTTGGTTGCATCACTGGGTCATGCACATGTCCGATTGGGTTACAGTAATCTGCAGAACACAGCAGAGAACTGCAGTCACCAGAATGATCAGGGACAGAGAAGAGAGAAAACAGACAAGAATGTGAATGCAGACTCTGTATTGCTCCCCCCCCCCCCCCCCCCCCTCCCC